TAAAGGTTGATTTGCAAGAGATGATGGATGAGGGCCTCATCCATATAATCAGGCCCAGGGCAGAGTATGAAGAAGAAGTAAACATGGTTTCTATATGTCCTGGAGAGTTCAGAATCTTTAATGTGGAATATATGAAAGATGATCTTGTGCAGTTACATGCTACTTTCAGCCACATGGATGGTCAGGTAGAGTACCACTAAGGATCTTGCTGGGTTTGCTGCAGGGATTCCCGAGGATGTTTGATTGTAAGGAAAGGTATTCAGTTGTTATTGGATAATGGAACTATCAAGGTTTCAGGGAGAAGAGATGATTACCATGAGGTTAATGAGATTAAGGTTTGCTTGGCTGAGGAAGAGTCAAATGACGAGTATGCTTCCACAAATGAATTCTTCTCCTCAGACGAGGGTATGTTCTTCGATGATGATTCTTTGATGTCCGAATTTTCTGAAGAAGGTGTGAACGTGGTTGTGTCGTGTTTCAGTGATTCTTCCCATGTTGAAATTGAACACTGTAGCAAGCCAGTTGTTGCCCCTATGGTGATTTGCTTGCCAAGGCCCGTTCCTTACAAATCCGACAAGGTTGTACCGTACAAGTATAATGCTACAATTTTAGAGGATGGTGTGGAAGTTCCCATCCAGCCTTTGTCTAGTGTTGGAAATATTGCTGATATTAGTAGACTGACCCGTAGCGGTCGTGTGTTTGCACCAATTATTCGGGGAAATAATAATGCTGGAAATAAGGCTATGGAAAGTGCTGAAAATAAGAAGGTTGTGGGGGAATCCAGTGGTTCTACCCTGGATAAGGACGTAGATGATATTTTGAAGATAATCAAAATCAGCTACTATCGAATTGTGGATGAGTTATTACAGACTCCCTCAAAAATATCTATCTTGGCATTATTGATGAATTATGCTGCCCATAGAGAATCCTTAATAAGGGTGTTAGACCAGGCCTTCGTGGAGTATGACATGCTGATAGATCAATTCAACAGTGTGGTAGGTAATATTACATCTTGTAATAACCTAAGCTTTTGTGATGATGAACTGCCTGATGAGGGGAGAAATCACAATTTGGCTGTCCATATATCTATGAACTTTAAAAGCGATTCATTATCAAATATGCTGATTCATAATGGATCCGCCTTGAATTTGATACGGAGAAGTACGTTGATGAAGTTGAAATATCAATGGGCTCCTATGCACCCAAGTGGTTCTCTAGCCCGTAAGCCTCTCTCTTTGATGTCTAGATCTGTTGTTTGTAGGCCATTGAAGTTATGCCCCCTTGGTCGAAGCTCCTCCCTTTTCCTCTTCCTGCCCCAGCCTGAGTCCATTTGTCAATTGGTATTTTAGTTGGAAGTTTGAAAGTGACTCTCCTAGCCTTAGAGTGAGGGCTATGTTGTCTCCTGGGAACTCCCCTCTTGTAGAAGACATATATATTTGGGTTGCCACCTTGTTGGTCCCATCCACGGGTGAAAAGGGTTCTTTCGAACATTTCAGCCATTTCCCTATCATACATTGCCCCACACCTGGGACACAACAGACACTCTGTTTCAGCTTTATAACAACGTACCAGAAAATCCAGCAGACTTTCCCCTGGTTTTGGGTACACTTTCATCAATTGGCTTTCTTTCCTCCAGTTGCCCTGGGTTCTAGCACATTGATCTCTCTCATAAGCCTTCTCTACCCTTCGATTCAGAACAATGTTGCACCTTAGGCACACCAGCATTTCTGAATTTCTTTGATGACACCTCCATAAGTATTCTCGTAGTGTCTCATTGGCCTTAAGGTAACCAAAATTCATCTGTTCCTTCTCCATCTTCAGGCATCTTTCCACTTCTTCCATTCCTGGCGAAGGCTGCTTCAAATCCACCATGTTAACCCTTAGACTAGGACCTTCAACAGTCCTTATATTTCCACATTTAATTTTAAGGCTTTCAGTAGCCTTAATTATTCCTCCTACAGAGCCCACAGTAGCCTCTGATTCAGCATTACCTGCATAAATATTTTCGATAGGGGTGTCGAAGGGAGTTATGTTAGTTAGGCCTTCAGTAGCCTGCTTTCCATCCGTGTTTGATCCTTTGACTTCCTTGGCCTCTTCTCCTCCACACTCCACCATGTTAATCTCCACAGGTTCAGCATAATTGGTATCTGCAACATGGAGGGGGTCAACATCAACCTTCATGTGGCTCTTGACTTTCTCAGCAAACTTCAAACGTCCTTCTTTGATAGCATTTTGAATGAGATCCCTGAAAAGAAAGAATTGTGAAGTTTTATGGCCTAGAAATTTATGATATTTGAAAAAGCCTCTTTTCTTTCGTTGTTCTAACGGAGAATTTTGGCATTAGGAGACACTATCATTTGACCATCTTTTACCAATAAATCAAAAATATCATCACATTTGGTAATGTCAAACGTATAAGTTTTTTGGGAAAATTTCTCATTCTTTTCTGTTTCAACAGGATTTCTGCCATTTGCTGGTGTAAGCATTTTACAAGAGTATGGGGGTGCCTCTTTTAGTTCAGCCAGATCTACTTTGAATTCCCCAAAATCATACATATCATTGAAGGCCTCTGCTTCTTCTTCTTCGACTTCAACATAAGCTACCCTCTCTTTCTTATAATTTTTACTTGCTCTGGCCTTTTCTGCTTTTAAACGTTCGACTTGTCGAACTCTATCTGCTAATTGGGCCATGTCTCTTAGATACTGAGTATCTAGTTTCTTTCGAATGGAATAATCTAGTCCACCTGCGGCCATCTCGACTAATTCATGTTCAGGCACTACTGTGAAGCATCTAGATTTTAACAAACATAACCTATTCAAATAGTCATCTATAGGTTCAGTAAACTTTCTTTTGATGTTGGCTAACTCCTTAAGACTTACCTTAGTTTTCCCCATGTAAAATTTTTCATCGAACAATCTCTCTAAATGAGGCCATGTGTCTATAGAATTTGGTGGCAATGTGGTGAACCACGTAAAAGCATTTTTTGTTAATGAACTAGGAAAGTATTTTATCCTTAAGTTTTCACTATTTTCCAAATCCCCTGCTTCTATCAGATACCTGTCCACATGTTCGACAATTGATTCGTTAGTATCTCCTTAAAACTTTGTGAACTTGGGGACTTTACAACCCCTTGGTAATCCAGCTTGCAAAATAAAATCTGTCAATAGAGACGTGTAATTTGGCCGTCGAAAACCTGTGTTTAGGCCATTTTGGGCCATGATTCTTTCAATCATGGTGGTTAAATTATTTTCAGCCAGCATGTTATCCTGCCTAACTCTATGGATCACTTCTTCTGTATTTTGATCTCTGTTAACCATTACTACTCTCCTGGGTTGCTCCTTAGGGATCTCATGTCGAATCTCTTGTTGTTCTACCCTTACCCCCATGTTCCTTTCGCCAACCTCTTGTCTGGGTGGTCGAACCTGATTGATAGTGGGTTCTTCTTCTTGAATTTCCCCCTGGTTTTTCCTACGTCGAACAGGTGCTTAGGGGGCTCCAAAGAAATCTGCTATGCGCGCCATCTGCACTGATATTTGCTGATAGGATTGGGTATTTTCTTGGTTTGTCCTATTAACATTTTGGATCAAAGGGGAAAAAATGGCATTCATTTCACGGGAAAGTACTCCGACCATGTCATGGCTACTAGCGTCTATTTGTTGCCTAAATGCTATCTGATTATTAGTTGTAAGCATAGGTATTTGGTTTGATAATCCTTGGTTCTGCGTATTTCGACCCATATGGTTCATACCAGAATCAGAATGTTGTAGTGGCGAAAAGGTTGTCATGGTAGGCTGTGTATGTATGGATGTACTATTGTGTAATCCTGACATAAAGGAAGCTGACATCCTATATTGGGATTGCTCCCTCCAAGGCCCAAAATCCTCAAACCCCGGTGGCCTTGGGGTTGTAGGTTGAGTCTGATTTCCAACATATGTCAACACATGGCCAATTTGAGTATTCGAAGGAATCTCTGCCACGCTTGTAGAAACATGCATGATTAGCGAATTATTCATGGGCATGGGCCCTGTAGACCCAGGTATAGAATTATTTGTGGCCATGGGTCATGTGGATGTGGACATGGCTTGTGAATCAGGGATTGCAGTTGACGCATTCGTCGAACTTTCCATGATTGTGCCTGATCCTTGTGGAGGATTTTGCCCTCCTCCACTATTGGTATTATTAACCATTTTTCTGGTCTGTTTTCTTTTGGGTATTGATTGGTTATTGTTAGTTATCTTACCACTCCTAAGGTTTAATTGATGTTTTCTAAACCTTCTAGACCAAAAGATCAAGTTGATGGTGTTATGACTAAAAAATATCCAACACATAACCTAAAAAAGTAATTGTTACCCTATTTATGAGTTTGAAATCCGCATATCTCACTTAGCGACACAGAGCTCGCTAAGCGCACTCTACTGTCATGAGAAAAAAAATCAGATTTTGTTTCCGCCATAACTTGAGAATCGTAACTTCGATTTACGCACGGTCGAAATCGTTAGAAAGCTTATTCAATGATCTATTTAACAATAACTAAATATAAATGAAATTAATGATTTCCCGTTCTTTGATTTGAGCCTTATTCTTTGATGAATTATTCAAAATTGCCTCTTTGAAGTTATGACTTCGATTCTTTATTGCTCAATGCTCAAAACATGAATAAATACCTACAAAAGAGATGAAAAACTATTAAACGATATAATTTTTACACAAAATACGATTATACTCAACATATATAAATACACACACAAATTAAAATTTATTCAAAAAATTACAACAAAATAAATCGATAAGTATCACTAAATTATACACAAATATTACGATTATTTCACGCTTATCATAGTGCCATGTTAACTTCCTTTAGAAAAAATAGAAGGAAAAAAAACATATTTACTCTCTTTTTTTTTATATGATATGAAATTAATTTGGTCCTTTTTGTTCGGTAATGTTAGACAAAAAATATTAGAGAAGTGAGAGAGTTTAGGGTCCGGAACATATCCTCAATGACGAACGTGAAGGCAAACGGCGACGGCGACGGCGACGGCAATGGCGAAGCCGGAGTTCCATCATCGAAGCCAGAAGCACAAGAATCCCCTGAAAACAACGGATACTACTCAGAGCTAATTGTATCAAAAAACGCACTGAAGAAGCAAGCGAGACAACAGAGATGGGAGGCAAAGAAGGCGGAGAAGAAAGCAGCGGCAAAGGAACAGAAGAAGAAGGAAACGGAACGGAAACGGAAGGAGTGGGAAGAAAGCCTCGCGAGTATACCTGAGGATGAAAGAACGAAATTCATCGAATCGAGAGTTAGTCTCCGTAAGGAGAGAATGGAGCAGAAAACGTTGGAGAAAAATAGCAAGAAAGAGAGACTCAATAAGGCGAAAGAACATGGGCAAAACGTTGTTGTTGATCTTCAGTTCTCGCATCTCATGACTCCTTCGGAAATTCGCAGTCTGGTTCGACAGGTTAATTTACAGATTCTGTAGTTTTTTGTTTGTTTGTTGGTATTAGAGGTTATTTCGATTCACTAATTTTAATTTCTATACTGATTGAAACTGATTTAGACATTCAATTTGTGAGATTGTTGGGGAGGAATTATGAAAAGAACTCAAGACATGTTCATGCTAAGCTCTAAGAACTTATTTTCATAAGCTTCTTAAGATAGCCTAGATGAAAACAATTTAACTCTATTTTATCTTTTGTTGGTGTCTTGGACCTCTTAGATACCGGTTGTGCCTTTAATCGGATAATTTGGTATCATATAGCTTACTTCGCTGATGTTTGGTTCCGCAGTGAAAAAATTTGATTTTGAGTGAATTGATTCTGGTTAAAAGTGAACTATTTTATCTTTTGTTCGTGTGGTGGACCTCTTAGATACCGGATGGGCCTTTAATGGGATAGTTTGGTATCATATAGCTTACTTCGCGGATGTTTGGTTCCGCGGTGAAAAAAATTGATTTTGAGTGAATTGATTCCGGTTAAAAGTGAGCTATTTTATCTTTTGTTGGTGTTATTGACCTCTTAGATACCGGATGGGCCTTTAATGGGATAGTTTGGTATCATATAGCTTACTTCGCGGATGTTTGGTTCCGCGGTGAAAAAAATTGATTTTGAGTGAATTGATTCCGGTTAAAAGTGAGCTATTTTATCTTTTGTTGGTGTTATTGACCTCTTAGATACCGGATGGGCCTTAATTGGAAAATTTGGTATCATATAGCTTCTTCTGAATATAGCTTACTTCGCGTATGTTTGGTTCTGCGGTGAAAAAATTGATCTTGGGTGAATTGATTATGTAAAATTGATTATGGTTAAAAGTGAGCTATTTTATCTTTTAATAGTGTTGTGGACCTCTTAGATACCAGATGTGCCTTAGTTGGAAAATTTGGTATCATATAGCTCCTTCTGAATATAGCTTACTTCGCGTATGTTTGGTTTTGACAAAATTGATTCTGTAAAATTGATTCTGATTAAAGGTGAGTTGAATGTAAATTAATTTATGTTTGGATAACTTTATGTAAAAATGAGTTGAACGAGATAAGTTTCGATGTAAAAATCACATTTAAAATCAAAAGTTACAAATTTTTGTTTCAAGTAGAATCAATTCTATTTTAGAAAAACCAAACACTTCAAAATCATTCCAAAGTCAATTCTACACTTTTAGAATTGTTTTTTCCTCTTCCAAAAGCTAAACTAAACATGCACTTCTTCTAGAATTGTATAAACTTATGTATTTTTGACTGTGTATTGGTAAATGATGAAATAGAATAATGTATCTGTAGATAATGTGTATTGGTAAATAATGAAATGGAATAATGTATGTGTAGATAATTTATTGCTATGCGGTGAATGGAAGGTGTGAGTCCCCTGCACATCTTTGGCTAACAGGCTGCAAAGGAGAGATGGATGATCAATTGAAAAAGATACCGGGATTTGATAAGTGGATAATTGAGAAGGAAAATAAGCCTTATATTGAAGCATTGCAAGATCGTAAGGATGATTTGGTGTATCTAACAGCTGATTCAGAGACCGTTCTTGAAGAGCTTGATTTGAAGAAGATATATATAATTGGCGGGTTAGTGGATAGGAATAGATGGAAAGGGATAACTATGGAGAAAGCACAAGAGCAAGGAATTCAAACGGCTAAACTTCCTATTTCTAATTTCTTGAAGATGTCTAGTTCTCAGGTTTGTTCATGTTTATACATTTAACCCTTTTGTTTTGTATTGGATTTGGTGTTCATTTTAACTTCGGGTTCTATGTTGTCAATAGCGTGCTATAGGGGAATAGCATAGCGGTGGTCGGGTTTGGTGCGACGCTTTTGGCCTGCGAGCTGCTATCAACATTAGCGGCTGTAGCGGGTGCTATTGAACCCGCATCAAAGATTTTTTTAAATCCGTCTTTTCTAAGAGTATAAATATCAAATTTGACCGATCCTTTAAGAGTAGTATTATGTTTTTCATTTGATTATGTTCTTGATTACAAACAATTGTTATGTTGTTCCTACTTTTGGTTTAGCTCAAATATGTTTTTCTTCTCTGTTTAAGTTTTATTCCTCTATACTTTAGGTTCTTTAATTATTAAGTATGAAAGTCTCTTTTATTTTGTGTATTATTCTATTTTTGAGTATTTATGTTTACTTTGTTTGCTCACTGATTTTTAGTCTTTACAATAGCGGCTATCCCACTATCCTCTATACCGCTATAGCATTTTAGGGAGTCGGGGCTATGCGACACTATCTTAGATTATCAACATAGCTTTGACTACTAAAAGTTTGTACTTTGTATCGGTAGATTGTGAAATAGATGTACTTTGTACTTTGTTTCGGGTGCTTCCACTGCCACACGAAACACTGGGACAAAAAGAGAGAAGGTTAAGAGAAAATATGGATATGATAAAGAGAGAATAATCAAAAGAGAGATAGAAAAAGTGGAGGGGACTGCAGAGTTATCCAACTATAAAAGACCCGGATCCACCGGTAGGCTCTTTTACATTGCAGAGTCACAAATGATAATGATAGCAGAGTGAATCGCCATTTAGTGCTGAGGCTATTGGGGTCAGACAATTGGATGTATGACACCTAGAAATTACAAAATGATCTATGAAATTATAATTTGGTTTATCACATTAATCCTTTTGAGTCAATCAATTTAATTCCACAAAAAGTGTCAAAAGGACCAATGCGATTAGGTATTTTAAATTTCATGCATCATTTTAGAATTTTGTTGATTTCAAATATCATATTGACTGACCAATTCACTTGATAACACTCTCTGAAAGGGACCAATGGTCTGCAATTTTATATTAGATTATTTTGAAATTTCGTCCATTTTAAATATCAAGTTGTCGACCCATGTAATTGTAGGAATAAGGTGTTCATTTACTTGACAATGTTGAAAATGGGAATTCTATTTGTGTCTAAAACATTTTATTTATCATATGAGATTTCAGGTTCTTACTGTGAATCAAGTTGTAGAAATACTACTCAAGTTCACTGAGACAAGGGACTGGAAGACTTCTTTCTTTGCAGTTATCCCCCAGAGGAAAAGATCTCAAGCAGATTTAGAAGGAAATGCTGACATAGTGGAAGAAGAAGAGAAAGAGGAAGAAGAAGAGGAAGAAGAAGAGCATGAACAAAAAGATGATCCATTGACAAGTAAAAAGCAATGTGTTGAGGAGATCCCTTCTAACAAACTTGTTGACGGAGTGTAGAGTGTAGAACTGGAAGACCAACACATGATGAGACAAGTTTCAAATCAGTGCTGCACGCAGAATTTTCATACTGACAGAATTAGCACAACATTTATGTAGTTTTATGTTTTTAATTTTACAAAACTGTGACCCAATTTTCTTATGATGGTATTACACTCTTGGAACGTTGTTCTTCAGCTTTTGGATAAATCGTAGTTCTGTCAATGGTGTTCGTTGGCAAACAAGGTACCTAAGGTATTCTACGTTTGGCAACACATAAATGTCAACCTTATAATATGTACCTATTGTTGTCAAACATACCCGTTCATACTTAATGAGTGTAGTTAAGATAGTTTAACTAGTGCTGAACTTTAAGTTATGGCTTAACTAGCGGAGCAGAAATTACTTAATGATCAACATCTTCAAGATAGAAACTTGTTGAATAAAGCTCATATTAAGACAGAGAAACACAATAAGAATTTAACGTGAAAATTCAAAACGTGTTTTAGGTCCGATTGTTTGTTGGGACTGGGAGGTAAAGGGGGTAGTAGCCCTTGTGGTACGATTTAAAGACATTATTGTAAAATGAGTCAGAGTTTTATATATATTGACTGTAATAATGTAATCCTAATTTATCACAAAAATAAAAAGAGCTACACATTACAAAGCTATATATTATTCACTACATTGTGTTAACATAGATCAATTGTATTTTTTTTGTTATTTAAATTCTTTTCTCTTTAATTTTCTATCAATTGGTATTATATGACAACCAGGTTTGACGGAACAGGTAATTTCAGATTATAACAAATGAGGTTTAAAGGTTTGCTGACTCAACAAAGTTTATAGAAGATGTTGTGTGAAACGAAGTTGACTGACATGAAAGATATCGATTGGACAAAAATAAAGGAGAAGGCCACGGGGATCAATTCACCTATGTGTTTTAAACGAGCTAATGTATCATATATCCCGAACCTAACGACACTGAAGAAGGTTTGAGATAAATTAGAGAGTCAATATATGTCAAAGACGCTGATGAACAAATTGTCTGTGAAACAACGACTATACAGTTCGAAGATGCAAGAATGATCTGATTCACAACATGTCAATATCTTTAACACCATAATCATTGATTTGGTGAGTCTTGAGGTGAAGATTGGTGATGAAGATAAGACAATTATATTGATGTGCCCGTTACTCGAATCTTATGACCACTTGGCGATTACTCTTACTTATGGGAAATACACTATTAGTCTTGATGCAATTCTACTACACTTTTGTCTCATTCTCAAAGGAGACAAGTGTAGAGGAAGGAATTTAAGGAAATTGCCTGTGTCAGAAGGGGGATTAAGATCGTGGCGGAACACGATTAATACAGGTTATGGAAAGAAGAGGTCTAAATCCAAGAATCAAAAAACAATTATAGTTGCAAACAGACCTGGTATTAGAAAATGGACTGTCTAAACATAAAATATGGCTCATCCAGTTCTGTAAATGTTGTTTAAACCGATGGTTTTAGAAGTGAATCAGATATATTATGTGTTTCATCTAACTAGTGCAGAGATGCGTAGACTCTTGACTCTGGTTGTTCTTGCCACATGATGTTACACCAGAAATTTCACTACATTCAGGTCGGGTTTTTTTGGGCTTATTCATTTGGGCGATGATAAATCATGTATTATCACTATAATGTACAAATTAAAATTTCCACAGACCACAATGGGTGCGAACTTGAACGTTGCCAAGTATTTTCCATAATTTAGGAAAATTTTGATTTTCCTAAGTATTCTACAAGGAAATGGTTTCTCCTCCAAGTCTAATGTAGATAGAGACATATGAAAGTTGGCAAGGGTTCCTTAACTTTGATGAGATCAAGGAGGATTGTAGGTAACATTTACAAATTGTTGGGGAATATTATTGTAGGTGATGTTGCATTAATTTAGTCTTATAATGATGTAACCAAACTCTGGTATATGTGTTCGGGGTCATAGTGAATGTGGAATGATTGAACTTCATGAGAAAAATCTACGAAAATGTGTTTCTTGTTTCAAGATGGATTTGTGTAAGTATTGTGTATTTGAGAAATATGGTCGGGTTCGGTTCAAGACTAGAAAGCACAAAACATAGGAAATTTTAGACTATGTGCATTGTGAGGTAAGGGAGAATATCAAAGAGGTTTCTATGGGTGATTTCAAGTATTTTATGACTTTTAAAGAATATTTTTTCTTAAGGTATGAGTGTATTTCTTGAAGCATAAATCAGAAGTCTTTATCAAATTCAAGTTTCTAGAGGATAGAGGTAAAGAGTTAAAGAGGCAGAAAAATTAAGTATTTGCGATTAGATAATTGGACAAAGTACACTGATTCGAATTTCAAGATTTTATATGAAGAACACGGTATCCAAAGACAATTCTCAGTTAGTAAGACACCACAAGAGAATAGCGTGACAAAGAGAATGAATAAGTCTTTAACTAAAAGGGTAAAATGTCTCATGTTAAATGATGAACTATCAAAAGGTTTATGGGAAAAGGAACTTAACTTATCTTATCAACATATCACCACGAAATTCATTGGAAAAGAAATTTGCAGAGCATGTATGAACATGTAATCCTATTGATCTTGAAAGTTTAAGAATTTTTAGGTGTCCAACATATGTGCATATATTCAGTGAAGATTGATTCAAATTTGATTCAATGTCGAAGAAGTGTGTCTTTGTTGGTTACACAAAAGGTGTGAAGAAATTCAAATTATGGGATCTGATTAGAAAGAAGATTTAATCAACAAAGATGTTATTTTTTATGAGTAGTTAATGTTGAAGGAGTTAGTTGTAACATATATTTCATCATCTAAAAGAGAAACTTTCTACAAACAAATTATTCAGGTGGATGTTAGATCCGTCACTAGTGAATAATATGCAGGTAGTATCTGAACCACAAGAGAAACCAGACTTTGATATTGAATTTAACCATGAAATTGGAGTTTCATGTGGATTACATGATTATATTCTTGTATGTGATATATAGAACCTTTCAACCAAGCCACCATAAAGATATAAGCATGAAGATCTTGCAGCATATGCACTTATTACTAATTCTAGAGACCTTTCTACCTTTCGCGAGACTATTACTAGCTAGAAGAAAGATAAGTGGATGAGTGCTTATCTATGAAATTTGATCACTTCTTAATTATACCTACAAGCACACAGTTCTAAAAGATATCCCTAGGTCCGTTTCTTCAGCAAGACTTTTAGTATTATAACAACTATAACCCTCTTTCTAAGTGAGAGTTTTCCTATACTATAAAATAAATAATATTATGTAGACAACTTATATCTCAAATGAACTGCCAAGCTCCTTAATTTTTAGAGTTTATAGATTTAGTCTCATCTGAAGGGACGAGCCGTGAATCCTCTCGACGAATCTTGCTTTTGATTTTATTAGCTCTAAAGTCTTCTCAACCCCCTTTGGTTTGTCAGTTTAAGTTCGTTGGACGAAAAATAATTTCACCCATCGAATTTGCTCTGCTTTTGATCCTTTTGGTTCTGTTTGCTGGCAAAGCTCAAATTTTCTAAGAGAATTGTCGTTGTCCTTCAGCCATGCCTAATGTTTCTCATTTGCTAATTGAGTCAAAATTTGTTTTGTGAATTTGGCCAGACTTTGTCTTCGAGGTCTTGGGTCAAATAATCTTATCCGACTAAAGATTTGATTATTTTAGCTTTGTTTTTCTATATTTTAACTCAAATTGATTAGAAAGGATATAAAATAAGACCACTGCATAATTAATAGCAATTTTTATTTTAGCATAAGTTTTTTTGTATTACTTCGTGTCTAAATAAACTAATAAGTGTGTGATTTTCATAATGACAAATAAGTAAATTTCATAGTTATCAACTATATAATTTTTTATATTTAATTTTATATAATTATTTTTAAATTAATTTTTCATAAATGCACCATGCACTGTTCTCATTTTTTTACACCGCTCTATTTAGCAGGACACATTTTTAAATTTATAACTTATACTCCCTTCGGTCTTATATATAAGTAAGTTTAAAAAAAAAAACTCACCTTTAAGAAGAATATCTCAATGCATTTAATTCTTATTCTCTTTCTAATTTTATCCTTATTTTTTGGTTTGGAAATCGTTTCAAACATTAAAATATAAAATTTTGTAGGGATATATTTTAAATAGTGATATTGAATGTAATAATTATAATTTTTTTTACTTATATTTAAGACCATAGAATTTTTTTGTTACTTATATTTGAGACATGGGAATGTCCATCTTTTCATCTTTCATCTTTCTATTTTTTATTAAGTGCTATAATTTTTCACCTTCCAATGTACTATAAATAAAGACCACATTGCAATATAAATGGAACTACTCGAAGAATATAATATAATAATGTTTCCTTTCTTTTCTTTCTCTCTTTCACCTTTATAATATTCTTCATCTTCCATTCATCTCTATGTTGTTTTTGTTAATTTCATAATACACTATTAGCACGAGACTCTACCGTGCCAATGATGATATAGTCAGGTTCTATGTTAATTTTATACTATCAATATATTTGAACCAATATAATATAATTCATAATCTTGTTACTATTTTTTCATATAAATATATTTATTTTTTAACGTATATTTTGTAGAAAATTTTTTATTTACCTTGTACAATCATATTATATTTCTTTAATCATTCTTGTTAAATTCGAGAAGAATTTAAGATTAAAACATTTCTATATGCTTGTCCTAAATTGAATTTTAACACATAAAAGTGTTAATTTAACATTCAAGCATTCATGAAGGATTGCATAAAAAGTAATTTTTCTTGGCAGTTGTTTATAGAAATAGTTTGTGATGAGATCTTTGTAGAACTAAAATTTAATATTAAACTATCTCTAAATTATTGTTCAAAGATTGAATTTAATTGATTATTGTATTTATCAATAATTGATGAATTCTAGAAGAATTCAACATTCAAACACCTTTAAAAGGTTGCATCTATAATATTGTTAAATCC